GGATTATGGTTTGAGGTCTGGGTCCCAGGATGTACTTCTGTGCCCGGCTTGAAGGTCTGGGACCTGGATGTAGTCCGGAGCCCCTGATGGAGTTATGGGCCCCGGATGGAAGTCTGGGGACCCGATACAGGACTGTATTCTGGTATGAGGTTAGCATCCCCAGATTGATTTCTAGGCCCTTGCATGAAGGTCTAAGCCCTGGATGTAGGCCAGGGAGCCCAAGGCTGCTCTCCAGGTCCAAGAATCTGAAGTAAGTGTAGCACCAGCCCTCCTTAGCCCCTTGCCTGGCCAGGGGCAGAGCCCACTGATGGGTACCCACTCACATGCGTTGGTCATAGCAACAGAGCACATCGCAATAGGGTGGAATGAAGGCACAGGCTGGGCAGTGGGTATGTGGACCTTTGGAGTCCCCAGGTCTGCTGCGGGCACCCAGATTTCCAATAACAGCCTGAGTCAGCACCATGGTGGCCGCCTTGTGACTCCAACCTTCCCCACCCCCTCCCTACCACCCCAGCCACCTGGGAGAGTCATTTCATTTCTCAAATTAAAAATCCATTTTGTGCTGTGAATAATAGATGGGATGAGCCCTGGGAGGCTGGGCAGAGGACAGGAAGCTGGTTGGGGGTGTTTTCCAGGGCACAGAAGATACCGCAGAACTGTCAGTGGTGAGAGCAAGGGCTGGTTGGGCAGGGTGGAGGCTGGGGGCATCTCCCAGAGCAGAGGCTGGGCTAGGGGTTCAGCTCCTGAGGGGCTCAAGCAGCAGGCAGATGGGGGCCCAGTCTGTCCCCCAACATGTGCATGCCAGAGGGGCACAAAAATGTGTCTGATCATCACAGGGCCTGGCTTCAGGTTGGCAGCCCCCCTTTGGAGTGAAGCATTTAGCATCTCACTTAGTGGAAGCTCAATAGATGGGAGTCATCAGTGTGAGGATGCTATTCCCAGGGAGCTGGTGCTTCTCTGCACCCCTGCCCCGGAACCCAGGTCCTAGCAGGGGTGGGCTGGGATCTGGGCCACGATCAGATCAGGGAAGGGGTAGAGATGAGAGGCTCAGGGAACTGACCAAATCCCTAACCTCGGTCCTTTGTATCCCTCAGGCCTTCTCCCTCCAAGGCAGCTCTGGCCTATGCTCCCTCACTCCTGTTCTCCGCACCCTGCAAGCTGGGGCATCCATTGACCTCATTCAGGGTTTGGCTGGAAGCTGTTGTAGTCATTCTCTTGCTCATCAGGGGGTCACCTTGACAATGGGAGGGGCGGGGGAGGAGGCATTGGAAGAGTTCTGGAAGCCTCAAAAAGAGAGTGAGGGAGCCCCACTCATCTTTGCTTGGCTTCACTTCCTGAAAGGGGTGGAGGAGCAAAGGAGGCAAGGCCTGGTTGCTTTTACTGGTGGGCATTTAGGGCCACTAGGACTGAGTGGTCATGGGCCCAATCCTGGGGAGGGGTGCTGGCTGCTGAGCTCAGGGCTGGGTGTGGGGGATGAGGTGTTATACAGAGCAGGTAAGTTGGAGCCTGCCAGCAGGGTGGCCTGGCCAGGACTGGGGAGGTGAATGAACAGAACGATGGCAGCTGAGTCTGGGAGAGGGTTGGCCAGGAGGTTCAGATAGCTGAGCTGGGAGGAGGGAGGGGCACAAGAGGGGCTGAGGGCCTGGGCCCCCACCCCCAGGGACTGGGAGGGTCCCTGGGAAGCAAGTTTGCCTTTTGGGTCCTTCTGCCTTTCTGTCGGAAGAGAGTCAGCTCCCTGAGACAATATCCATTTTTATATTTCTTGGAAATTTCACGGCATTCATTTCAGGGAAAATAAAAACTGTCATTGCTGGAGAAATGATACCAATCAGGGCCTGAAAAGGCTGGAAAATTATCCTCCTGGAGACAAAACGTTGAGGGAAAATGCAGATTAAAAGCACAAAGAGCCACTTTGCCACCGCCCTGCCCTCCCCTCCCCCTTTATGGACTCACCACATTTTACATAATTCCACTTCTCTTCCGGAGAATTAAACGCACCCAAGAAGAACATAAGGGGCGGAGGAGGGCCCTAGAATGGCCAGAGCGGAGGCAGAGAGCATCCAGAGAATTGCTTAGAGATGGACAGGTGGACAGACATGGGACAGGCAGAATGGGGACAGAGGAGGCCACTGGGGGCCAGGACCCAGTGGCTGTGCTTATGAGAAGCCCCAGGGAGGGAGCAGGGCAATGGGTCCTTTGGGTCCTTGCTTTATCATGATTCTTATCAGATGGGCCCCATGGCAGTCTTACCCTCTCCAATTATTGTTTAGGCCAGTCCTGCAGGCCTGGGAGTGCTGGTCCTCTGCGAAGGACACCGAAAGCAGAGGGGGTAGCTAAGGGAGGGCAGAGAAAGCAGAGATTCCAGAAAGGATAGCATTCGTCCAAGAAGCTCCGAGTTCCCCGTGCCCCACTTGGACCAGGCCCTGTGGGTACTGTGGCAAGCCAGGCAGAAGTGGGCTCCATCTCAGAGCTGAGAGTGTGGTAAGAGGTCCCACATTAAAAAGCAAGTTGTAGGGGAAGAAGGAGTGGGGGGATAAATTCAGATTCCCTCTACACCTACCCATTCCTCCCACCAGCCCACATACCAGGGTCCCGAGGCCCAGGGCCTGTCTGGGGAGGGGCTGCAGGGCAGACTCTCCGCTCCTTTTCTTCCTCTCTGGTCAGGGTCTTCCTGAGCAGTGGGTGCCAAGGCCAGTCAAGGTTTGGGGAGGGATGCAGTCTCATCCCCGAGTCCCCTTCCTGCAGCAGCCTCCATGGAGGCTCTCCCTCCGCCAGGGGCTGGGTGAGGGAGTGTTATACCGGCACCCAAACCCCAGATGTCCTGGGGGGAGGGGGGAGAGCTGGGATGGGCCAGGCAGTCCCTTACTGAAGTCCGCTCTGCGCCTGGCGCTGTAAAGGCACAAGGGGCAGCTTTCCGAGGAGTCCTCCTTGGGCGGGCTGTGCTCCAGGCCTGTGGACGCTGATGGGACGGCCCACGCGCCGTCTGCAACCTGAACCCCTTATCGACGGGCTGGTGGAAAGCCCCGAGTGGGGACACGGGATCGGAGGGACCCCATCCCGAGATTAGCAGGCGCCCTCACTCTTCCCAGGGCGCGGTTGGAACTGGAATCCCCGAGCCCGGAGTCAGAGCAAGACCCTCGGGAGCGTGTTCCCACAGCCGTCGCCCCCGCCCCCGAGCTGCCAGAGCTGCCAGGTAGCCTGGATGGAGACAGGAAGGAGGGGGAAGAAGAGGGCGGGAGGAGGAGGGTGGAGCCGCCGGCGCGCCCCCCTCCCTCGGGGCCCGGCGGGCGGCGCGGAGCCGTTGCGGCGGCAGAAGGAAGCGGGCGGGCGCACGGGAGAAAAACGAATCGCCCAACCCGGTTCCAGCTCTGGGCCGGGTTGCGGGCTCGGGGCTCGGGGTTCCGGGTTCGGGCACGGGGTTCAACCCCGTTTTTGTTTCCCGCTTCGGCCCCGGGTGCCCCCCCTGATGGGGAAAGTGGCAATTCGGTCTTTCTGGTTGCCGCGGGCCACCAAACGCAGGCCACCTTTCCGGGCCGGGGGGAGGCCTTCTGGGCTTTTGTTTTGCGT